CACTGCAGCAAGTGAGACACGGCACGGACAGCATCTCCAATCATCCCCCTGGATGGTTTCTGAGGGGAAATGTGAGAAAGGGGCACAGCTCAACCCCTGCCATTGAGTCAATTACAGCTCACAGAGGTCCTATGGACAGAGGAGAACCACACAGTGAGTTTCTGACGCACTAAGTCTTAATGCGAGCAGGAGTCCCTCCCTTCTCTCACCGACTAGCTGGTGGATTTGAACAGCTGACCTTGCATCTAACAGCCCAATTATTATTATTTTTTATTACTACAATTGATTTTATCTATTTATTTTTAAAATCATTTTATTAGGGGCTCATCAACTCTTATCACAACCCATACACACATCAATTGTGTAAAGCGCCTTTGTACATTCATTGCCCTCATCATTCTCAAAACATTTCCTCTCCACTTTAGCCCCCAGCATTAGGTCCTCATTTTTTCCCTCCCTCCCCGCTCCCCCCTCCCTCATGAGCCCTTGATAATTTATAAATTGTTATTTTGTCATATCTTGCCCTGTCCGACATCTCCCTTCACCCACTTTTCGGTTGTCGGTCCCCCAGGGAGGAGGTCACATATAGTTCCTTGTAATCGGCTCCCTCTTTCCTACCCACTCTCCCTCTACCCTCCCTGTATCGCCACTCACACCACTGGTCCTGAAGGGATCATCCGCCCTGGATTCCCTGGATTTCCAGTTCCTATCTGTACCCATGTACATCCTCTGGTCTAGCCAGACTTGCAAGGTAGAATTCGTGGCATGATAGTGGGAGTGGGGAGGAAACATTTAGGGAGTAGAGGAAAGTTGTATTTTTCATCATTGCTACATTGCACCCTGACTGGCTCCTCTCCTCCCCGAGACCCCTCTGCAAGGGGATCTCCAGTCAGACCAATTCTTAACCCAGTGTGCCATCAGCATTCCAGGAGAGAAAGGGGAGCTTTCTCTCTTCTTCTTCTACTAACACAATATTTCCTCAGTCTTTCAATGAGAATACAAACTGATGCTTGTATCTAGGTTATGCGGCTTACTAGTTCTCACCTTCAGTTTCCCATGAAAGTATCCCCCACCTCCCCGCCACAAGAGCTCAGACTGAAGAAATGGAAATGATAGGAAAGCCCAGACTGAGGAACATAAAGAGATACATCGGAAGGAATAGGCTTGAAATGCATGATATAGTCTGTTCTTGTCCATTCTTTGGGCATCCTAGCCCCATAATGACCAATCATAGGATTTGCTTCATGCTTTAAGCCTTTTTTTAGACTTTTGGCATCAATCCTTCTTTATAACCTCAGGGGGCTAAAAAACGTTTGAAAACAAAATTCATATAATAAGGAGTTGACTGATAGCTGAGAAAATTTTAATACATACATAGCATGTGGCCAGAGAGATTGTCTGGTTCAAGTGAAAGGAACAAAGGATCGACTACTAGAGGAATATATACTCAGACCACACTTTGCGGAGGCCGGGAACTTCAGACGCACAGAGGGATCCTCAGTCAAAGCATGGCATGTGTGCAATTATGGTCCAGACCAAGGAACATGCATTACCTGCAGTCTAATCGGAACACGGTTAAGAAGCTATGCTGCACTTTGTGAGGGAGCAGAACTCGAGAGAATGTTGATGGGGAGGCACGCAAGCTGCAGTGGTGTGAGCGCTACGAAAAGAAGGGTAGCAAGCGCCCGCCCCTGATGTGTCTACTGGGGGTCTGAGCTCACTGCTGGGCTTTTCCCATCTTCAGGAATAAGGCAAAAATTATTCCTTTAGGATACATGTGGGGAGAAGGGAGATGGAAGGAACATGGACAATGCAGTAGGAAAGAGGAAATGAGGTTTTGCCCCTTCCATCTAGCCTACAATCCATTCCAGAATCAGATGGTGTTATGGGGAGAGACAGGCAGCCCTGGACACAAAGGCCCTGCATACACAGAAATGCTTCCTTCCAGCTCTCTGCAACTCTGTCAAACCATTCTGAGAAATGCAGAGCTAACTTTTATTTTTGAAAAATCAACATTTACTCCAGTTTCACCATCCCACTAATGCTCACCACCTGGCAAGCTGGTATCAAAGGTCTCAGGAGAGCTTTCCAGTCCCAAGGAGCTTCCCAATTAACACCATCAAGCAGAGCAGCCAAGGGGCAGGGGAAAGGGATGGGCAGGGAGGGGCGACTAGAGGTCAGGTACAGAGACTCCAAGACAAAAGAGAGGATTCCAAAAGAACACATATGATTTCTTCCAAATAAAAATACACTTTTCTCTCCTTGTCTGGAACACGCATTCTTGTTCGTCACAGCTTTAAGATTAAGGCCATTTATTCCCCTGCTATAATCCCCCTCTTATAATGCTACCTCAGCCCCCATTCGGCCTCTTCTCTGCTTTGACAAGTCACATACAAATGTCAGGATCCTTTCTAAAGTGCAGAGCTGTTACAATGTCTCCTGAAGCTACAGCCTGGAACAGAAACACTGCTTCAACCCTTAGGCTCTGAGAGTCTACCTTGAGCAACATACACAGTCAACACAGGCTTCGTTTCCAGGCTACCGCAATAAAGCGAATCATCCTATAAGAACAAGTCACGTGACTTTCTTGGCTTCCCAGTACCTATGAAAGTTATGTTTACAGACCGTCTGGTCTATTAAGAGTGTAATAGTACTACCAAAAAAGTCTGAAATTTTGTGAGAATTACCTAAATGTGACAGAGAGAAATGAAGTGAGCATGTGCTGAGGGAAGAATGGTGCCAAGAAGATTTGCTTGAGGGAGGGTGACCATACACCCTTGATTTGTAAAACAAAACAAAACAAAAGACATTACTTTCAAAGCACAAGAAAATGAGATTCGTCTGCATCCTTGATCTCAGACTCACCCCAGTCCCTGCCGCTCCTTTCCTTGCTATGACTAGATTAAGGAACAAGAGCAGCAGGCTGTGCGCAGAAAGTCACACATCTAAAATGCCCGCACTGGGCTCTCCTCAGCTGGCACATGGGAAAGGGATGAAAAGAAAGACTCAGGGAAGAATGCGTCCAAAAGACTGATGGACCAGGGGGTCCACACCTCCTCTACCCTGAGAACAGAAGAACTCGATGGTGCTCAGCTAGCACCACCAATTGCTCTGATCATGATCAAACAGAAGAAAAAACGCAGGACAACTTCTGAAAACATAAAATAGTGTAATGGAGGTAGTGGTGGAGGGGTGGTGGTGGTCAGACTTACTGGTCTGATAGAGATGGGTGGAACCCCCAAAGTTGTGGCCCTCAGGAGCAACCTGTAAGGCTGGAACTGAACTCTGTATCATCTTCCAGCAAAACAACAGACAGACCCATGAAGTGCTAACAGCAGGGAAGAGCCCACCCTTCAGTACAATCAACCATAAGGCACCAAGAGGGCATCGTCTGCCCAAACAAAGCTGGACGGGCAGGAAGGAGCGAGAAAGAAGGATGAACAGAACTGGTCAACACAGGAAGCTGAGAAGGTGCTTCAACATGGAGGGAACTGCAACCAAGAATATGACAAAGCACCAGGTGTGGAAATTGTTGACTGTCTGCTCTGTAAACTTTGACCCAAATTATAATGAAAAGTAAAGGGAAAGAGGCAGGGTTTAAGATTACAGTAAGAACCATCTGGGGGTTTCCACAGTTGGGGTGATCTACTTTCATATTCTCAGCTCAGTCCTATGAAAACTTTCATCTATTATTATCTTTTTAGATACCCCCCTCCATTACTCATTTTGTTACCTAATTCTCTATCTGAAAAAGAATACTAGGGAGATAAGTAGCAACAAGTCAGCTTATCAGCTATTTTAGCAAGGTCACAAGTCAAAAATGCATATCCTTGCCCGTTGTGGATCAAAACCCATCCCTGAACAAATTACTGGCCTGCTGTGTCAGAGTACTTTTACTCCACCCGGTGAAGACAAATCACAGGAAGAACTCAGGGGTCGTGGGCTGTGTAGCAGGTTAGCTGGAAAGGCAGCAAGGACATACTGATCATTTCTAAGGGGCACGCTCCCTCTGGCCCAGCCCAGAGGCTTCTTGGCCACCACCACAGGAAAAGGTATGACAGAAGCAGGTGGACAAAGCTCCCGTGCGGCTAACAAAATTGATTTTCATTGCGTATGCATTAGCAGAGGATTTAGCTACACAAGCAGAGATCATTTTGTCAGCATTAACTCAGCCAAATGCTAGTCAACATACTCCCCAGAGAGAACAGGGGAACAAAGCAGAGAACCACTGGTGTCAACTGCCCACAGTCATCTGTTGTACAATACATGTTCCCTCTAAAATGAATGACGAAATGTAAGAGCAGAGCCTAAAAAGATAAAACTGTAACAGAAACCATTCTACACTAAGACAATTTTGCTTATTAAAAAAAAAATTAGAGAAGCATCCAGAGAATTACGAGAGAAAGACTAACTGACCCAAAGCGGTTTGAGAGAAGAATGAAATGGACATTGAAACTGGCTGAAGTCATGGTCAGAATTTAATAGATTTAAAAACGACGTTACCTTTCAGCCACAGCCTTAACTTGGCAGGCATTCGCTCTGGGGTTTTGACGGTACAGGAAAAAGAAGTGACACAACAGTCCCACTGTCCCAAATGCACTCCGCAATGACTATGGCGAGACGCAGGAAAGATTGAGAGGGTGATTAATGCTTAATGTGATCAGTTCTGGTAGGAACTTACCATGGGTAAGATTTACTCAGTGTATAAATGGAATAAAAACATGTTTTGGCATGGCGAGACCTATTTGACTTTATTTATGATGCCAAGAAGTTGTCAATCCGTATCTGATTAGTTAGAGGTAGAACGGTAGTCATTTTGATTGTCCTTAAAACAAAAACACAATTTCTTGTGTTTTTTGTGTCTAGTCACAGTGCACCGCAAAGCTAGCTGTACATTCACTATTTTATTCTGCTTCACGGCGGCTTTCACATTACATTTTATATCAAATAAAAGACCTATAATATGAATTTTTAAGAAATAAATAAACCATAGAAATGCATCATTTTGACCAGCAAAATTTTACTAAACAGTATCAGCAAATTTCAGAAGAATTTGTCTTTCGATCTCAGTTTTTTAATTTCAGTAAACACAATAATTTATAGATTGACATGGTTTCTTTTAACCTGACAGAAAAATAATATAAACATAATTTCCAAATAGAGAAAATGAGGTACAGGCAGTGAGGCTTTCTCACCGCTGTAATACTTCATTCTTCAAAGTAAATACAGTAACGATCATCATTTTGATTCCAGTGACTAAAAACTTAAATGTAATTTATTAATCACCTTTGAAGACTGAAACCAAAACAACCCTTCAACAGCACTGCTGATGATACAGCTCAAGTCTCATTCATTAAGCACAATGCAAAGTTTTGGCCAATTTAAGCGTGGCTCTCTCAGCTACCAAGGTTGATCTCTTTGTTGGGTTTCAATCTGCCATAACAACCAAGGATAGGATTACATATAAACAGAAGTATGCAGGACTTGATGAAATTGAATATGGGAGATCAAGCATTTTTAAAGTCAGTGTAGTAATTCCTGTTGCAACACAAGTTCTGGTGCATAATTCACAATGACCTAAAACCTTTTCAGCAACAAAATTATATTAAAAAAATATACAATCACCCTTATTTGTTATATAACTGTAGATAGCACAACCATTTAAATCTTTTATTAGCTTAGAAAAGTACAACTTTTCCCTGAAAAACTCTAAGAATGTTCATATTGCAGTCACAGCTGTCCTGAACAAACTTTCATAAACAGCAATGACTATATTTTGTTACTTCTTTATGTGAACATAGTAAATATGGTGACTATATATATACATTATATATATATATATATATATATATTTTTTTTTTACAAGCAACCAGAAAGGATCTGAATCCAATTAGTGAATTTTTATACTGGTTTTTAGTCATAGAATATCCATTACATTGGTGAAACAGTTGAGAGGGAAGAAACTGCCAAACTTGCCAAATTACTTTAGTTCAATAGGACTTTGATCCCTCCCCAAACAACTGTACACAAACTTAGCTTTAAGGAATTCCACTTTTACCAATGAAAACAAACATAATAAATATAGAGGAGGTGCAGAAGTAACTTCATTTGTTTTTAAATATTCAAGTGTAATGCTTCTGTAAAAGATTAAAACAGGATATTTCAACTTTTATCAGATGTGTCAATTTCCATTTGTTCCTAACCCGCCATTAGCACAGTGGTTCACTGGGCTGCTAAACAGCCCAGCTGGTCAAAAAACAGAGATGATGTATCAGTGGAAAAGAAGAACATGGATACCACGGCAGTCATCCAGAAGATCTGATACTCACTTGTGCATCCCTGAAGTAAGAATGGCTACTTTCTCCACTAAATTGCTCTACACTAAAGCAGCACTGTTTGTGAAGAGTCAACTTCTAATCCAGAATAATCACCACTAGAGTTAACAATTTAAAAAAGCATACCAAATCCATATACCCGTGAACCTTAAAAATCCTAATGTGTAGACACATTCTTAGTTTAACCAAGAATTATACTGGAATGAACTAAAGACATTGTTTAAAGTAATTTTAAGTATACTCTTATTTGTTATTACAATTCTACATAGATAATTTTAAATTGCTTGTGGACATAATTAATTGATAATATATCATAATGCAAACTACTATGGTGATCCAGAGGGAGCTTAATTATTAAGTAAGACCTTCCTAAAAAAGCTTCAGTATTTTTGATTGGTAAGAAAAACAAATGAACAACAAAAAGAACATCTCTCGTTGAAATAACACTGAAGTTTGAGCTCAAGCCCCCTCCCTTTGTGCTCAACGTAATTAACTCTTCAGAGGAAAATGAGAAAAAATGTAGTCACATTAAGTTACAATCATCTTCAAGAAAATTCTATGGGCAGCTCTGGTGTTACAGTCGTGTATCTTGGATCCAACCTGGGGATGAAATCCTCAAAGTGTTTAGATGCACCAGTACCAAAAACATCAAGAACTTTTCTGTTCATGACAGCAAATCTGCAAAACAGAAGACACAGTGGACAGCTAACGAAAAATTTAAAAATAAAATAAGTCACAGTGACTTGCGTATTTTATAAGACAGGGAAAGGGTGGACACAGTATAAGACCCAAAGTCAATTACTGTTTCAATAGTCACACAGACACTCTCCCAGATTCACTGGTTCCATATTTTATTTAATGATATAATCCCCAGTATTGAAACTCCAGAGGTTACCATCATTATTTTAAGCAGTTTTAAAGTTATTTCAACTAGAATATGTCAAATAGAAAATTAAGTACATTACATATAATTTTATGAAGAATGAAATCACAGGAAGCTAAATGAGCTAACAATTACTACTGGGGTAAAAAAACTCTGGGAGAATGACATCCTCAGGATTTGACAAAAATGGATTATTTAAGTTCTAAGTTTTTTGAAAATATTAAAGCATTTAATGTCTCCCATAATTGGCATCATAATAGCGCACAAATATGTAAATATCTGATGATTAAAACATAAACTAGCCAGAGATTTCCAATTAGGTTCAAATTAGTTACACTTACAATGCTAAGTATAACTAATCAGCATTTAATAAAATGATTATCAGTTTAGAACACTTCCCTATAATAATAAAATATTATTGGGAACAGAATAATGCTGACTAAAATAAGACCCAATTTTATTAAGTTGGCCATATTTTATTTTTTTCTCAGTATCTATTTTACCACTGAAAGAATAGGCCTGTAAGAAACCAAAAAGATTCATAATCATTTTAGGAAAATGTTTTCTTCCCTATGATTAGTTAAAATGCCTCAATTGAAAGAAATTATTCAAAATGACACTTGTGCACCAATGTTCACTGCAACATTATTCACAATGGGTAAAAGGTATAAACAACCCAAGTACCCCTTCAACAGATTAATGGGCCAACGAAATGTAGAATCGGCATAATGGGATATTACTCTGCCACAAAGAGAAATGAAGTATGGGGGTATACCTTACATGGGTGAACCTTGGAAACATGTTCAGTGAAATAGACCAGGCACTGGAGGACAAATATTAAATGAGTCCACTTATATTTCTGAAATAGGTATACCCATCAAAACAAAAGAAGATTTATGGATAACAGGAGATACGGGAAAATGAGAATGTTACAGGGAAATCATCATATTGTCTACTTAAAAGTGGTTATCTGAACTATTCCCCATAAAGATTTAAAAAGAAGGACATATACATCACCTACAACAAACACATCTGAATCACTTACTTGCCCTTGGTGAGCCTTAAAAGGAATTTCCAGTATGATGGTCGCAAAGTCTGAACTTCCATGACAGCCTAAGAATGGAATATTGACTCGGAGACTTTAGTATATGGCATTATCATCAATCTTAGGCCATTGAGTTGTTCTATCTGTATTTTTATTAATCATTGTGTTTTTTAAATGAAAATGATTGCAATAATAATAAACACATGTTATATTATGTTTAAGTCTATAACTATCAAGAATCATTGTAAATATACTTTCAAATTGAAATGTGGCTTTAAAATAATAATTGAGTTAATAATTCCAAACCAATGCCAACAAGTTGATTCTGGCTCATAGAAATCATGTAGGGACAGAGTAGAACTACCTCACAGGGTTCGGAGGCTGTACGTTTTATGAAGCAGACAGTTTTCTCTTTGTCCCATGGAGAAGCAGGTGGTTATAAACTGCTGACCTCATGATTGGCAGTGACCCACTATACCACCGGGGTTCCTAATTGAGTTCAGAGTCATTATTATAAGGACACATTTACTGAGTGCCCATAGAGCAACAGACACTTTATTAGCTATTAAAAAAAAATATCAACCTGGCAGTATGACTGTGAGAAAGCGCAAAATTTCCAACCACCCTAAAATCATTAACATTCACTAATGATGATTACAGAAATTAAAAAGACCGGACAATACTTCTGCTAAATTAGATTCCATCCCCAGACCCTCAATACCCAGAGCAAAATTGAGGAACTGAAATTATTCTTATATGCCTATACTATCTTTCCCCCACTCTGGAAGGAGAATGGAGCATGCTACCTCAGGCACTGGAACAACAATTTACATATAAATTACACTCTATTTAAACCTAGAGAGCAGAATGTTCATAAAATAAAACCTGACCCATTAAGTTAACATGTTCACTGATTTGAAACTTACAAGTATATTGCTTTAAAAAAAAAAGCAGGAATAGTATAAAATGTAATAAACAGAAATGTTTCCAGACATGTATTTTTCTTCTTCCATTGGTTTAATGTACAATAAAAATAAATAATGCTTTAGCTCATTTCTAAAAGCTTTACTTACTGCCTGGAAGCAAATGGCTGTAGAGATGGAATAGATGATAGTATCTGCATGGGGAACATAGGGAACCTTCCCTGCTTCAATGCCTTTGAAATACATTGTCTGCAAAACAAATATAATACAAGGTTGATAAATAAGATGTTAAGTAATATAAACACTATAGTAAAATACTATGTTCCCTACTTACAATTACTTTTTCCATCCAAATCTTAAACAATCCTTTAGAGCTCAAATCAAGTTACAGGAAAGCAATGTCAGCCCTTGCCCTTCGCTTACTTCCTTGCTCCTAACACCAGCTGAAAGCAGTAACACAATTCAGTGAAATCCCATAGCACCTTTTCTACTTCTATATGTTATTTTTCCCCAGTACCCCTTTGTACACTTAAAGTCCTCCATTCCTCATTAGTACTATTTATCTGACACTTACTCAGGCAAACTATGCCAGACACTGTGTTTATAGTTGGATATTTAAAAAATGAGTAACACATAGGTAATGTATAAGAGCAATTATCAGCACACTCCAATAAGGCCTATAAGAGTCGGGGAGGGGTGGTGTATATTTATATTGTATTTCTTAAACTCAGTCCAGGTGAATGAATATGTTTATTAATAGTGTTCCATTTGAATTGTATAGAACTTCAGTGGCATATGAGAGTATAAAAAAAAAGAAACAGAAGAAAGCTCTGCTAGGGGAGCTTTCTTAGTATGCATTCTTCCCACTAGTAGAGCATCCAGCAACTCACTCTGAGTTAGTGCACCCAGAGGCATAGACTGGGAAGGTTCTCTTTCATCACAGTGAATTTTTTGATAAAAGCAGTTTCATGCGAACCTTAGTGTTTTTTTTAATTTATTTTTTATTGATTGATTGATTTTGGCTTTTCTTTTTCTTAATCATTTTATTGGGGGCTCATACAACTCATCACAATCCATACATACATCAATTGAGTAAAGCACATCTGTACATTCCTTGCCCTCATCATTTTCAAAACATTTGCTCTCCACTTAAGCCCTTGGCATCAGCTCATTTCCCCCCTCCCTCCCCGCTACCCCCTCCCTCATGAACCCTTGATATTTTATAAATTATTTTGTCATATCTTACACTTTGCGACATCTCCGTTCACCCACTTTATTGTTGTCAATCCCCCAGGGAGGAGGTTATATGTAGAGCCTTGTAATCGGTTCCCCCTTTCCACCCTACCCTCCCTGTATCGCCACTCTCAACACTGGTCCTGAAGGGATCATCTGTCCTGGATTCCCTGTGTTTCCAATTCCTATCTGTACCAGTGTACATCCTTTGGTCTAGCCAGATTTCTAAGGTAGCATTGGGATCATGATAGTGGGGGGGAGGAAGCATTTAAAAACTATAGGAAAGTTGTGTTTCATTGTTGCTACACTGCACCCTGACTGGCTCATCTCCTCCCCACAATCCTTCTGTAAGGGGATGTACAGTTGCCTACAGATGGGCTTTGGGTCCCCAGTCTACACTCCCCCCTCATTCACAATGATATGATTTTCTTGTTCTTTGATGGCTGACACCTGATCCCTTTGACACCTCGTGATCACACAGGCTGGTGTGCTTCTTCCATATGGGTTTTGTTGCTTCTCAGCTAGATGGCCACTTGTTTACCTTCAAGCCTCTAAGACCCCAGACGCTATACCTTTTGATAGCTGGGCACCATCAGCTTTCTTCGCCACATTTGCTTATGCACCCA